GCTGAAATCAGAAACTTTGTGTTGATACAAAAAAAGTAGATTCTCTGACTTCAATTAAAATTCACTGCTTATTAGTAAATTTATGCTATGAAGAGCTATATCACTCCTTTAAAAATACATGCACTGACTCTAGTTTTCACAGAAAGTACACTGTGTTGTCACTAGTTGTCACAGCACAGCTGCATGCAGAGTCAAGAGGCAGCACTCAAACCTCCGAGAAACAAAGAACGGCTTTTAAAAGATCTACACTTCTCTCCTGTATGAAAAATTGTGTTTTGGGGACCAATGGCTTAATCCCAAGTTGCCAACAAAATTTAAAAAAGTAAAATTAAAAATAACTGTTGACAAGCGTCTGCTTCACTTCTTAATATTAAGATCTTAAAATATTTCTGTAATTCTCACTTCACATGCTAAGTAAATGTATTGGAAACCAAAAGGAACAATATCAAGTTGGCAGAAGCAAAGGTACAAATGATGTTGTGCTTCTGCATTACAAACTGCCTGCTGTCTTCCACAGCACTGTAGATTGAGATTTTCAGTTTTGGGGTGCTCTTTTAAATATTCAAATATGCTGATGCTGAATTTAAAACAATATAAAGCCAACTCTACCAATAATATACTGTTTAACAATGTTGGCAACCTATTTTACTAGAACATACTAAAGCTCTTCATCAACTGAATTTTAAAACAGTGCTCTTACTGACAAAATTTAACCCCTGCTGTTTACTGATAAAAGTCAACCACTATCTCGGCACAAATCTTTGGCTAAGAACCAAGAATGCAGCTTCTTGAAGCACTAAACCTGCTCTTAACTGTTGTATAGTCTTATGCAGATGCACAGAATCTCTTTATTGAAGTTTGTAGTACTAATGCCATTCATTCACTGTCTCACTCAAAGCTGAGAAGTCGATTGGGACCTCAAAAAAGTAGGAAACAACTCCTTTTTCTGATCTGTCCATCTAACTGAGGCACAAGAACATGAAGATCTATTAAGTCTCAAATACCAGAAGGCAGATAACAGTATTTTCTTTTAAAAAAGTTTATACAGTACATTTTGATTTAACTAAAATATACTCTGAAATTACATTTTATTTCATCATAATTGGATTCCACTGTTGTCCTATACAGAATTTGACACAATCCACAAGAGTCACCAATTAGTAGGAATGCATCATTCTTCTTGCTTAGCAAAACATACTAGGTTTAATATTAAAAATCTATTTTGTTGCAAACCAGAAAGGTTTAATAGTAACTAGTCAATGAGAATCAACATTTGTTTAGGAAAAGAAGTAAAGTTCAAAATACAAGACAAGACTGTAATTGAGTAACTGCAAACATTAAGGTTCCCTGTTCGCTAATTTTAATCATAGTAAAAAATCAGTCAGGAAGCCAAATCACTTATTTAAATTAGTCCATCCTAAGTAGGCCATCACTATTAGATTTATGAGGCTGAGAGGAAAAAAAAAATCAGCATAATAAACATACTGCATTAACAATACCATTAACACACAAACACAAAAGCTGTTAATGATATAGGGGAAAAAAATCAGGAGATGTAATAAAACAGACTTTCTTGAAAAGAAGGAAGAAGAAACAGAAATAAATCAGCATAAAGAAACATGCCAAAGAAATGTATAATTTAACAGAATTGACTCCTGGCATCTCTCACTGTTTATAAGATCTTTTAGTGATCATAGTGATCCAGATCTGGATACTGATCAATTATCACTGATTTCATTAGAAGAAATGAAAAGTCATTTCTTTAGGACTACTTACTATATATTATAGGTACATATAAACGCAGAAAAATACTACTCTCAACATAAATACATATGAAGGCAACAGAACATTTTAAAGCAGCATAATCAGTTTTTCACTGCATGAACAAAAATTTATGATTATTTGCAAGAGCACCCTCCAAAAAAGGAGTTATTTGGAATCTTTAGATACAAACCTGATGTAAAAAGTCTGGTTTTGTCTACAAAACCCTAAAAAAAAGGTGACAGATTAACTGTCTGGAAGTTCAGACTCTTTACTAATCAAGTTGGAGATGCATTTAGAAGACAGCCAGCACGAGACGGAGCAATTGCATTCAGTGTTTTGTCAAGGGAAGAGGAGGAAGATGATGAGCAAAAATAGGACAAATGCTGATATGATGAATAGTGATAATGTAAAATAAAGCTCCCAGAAAGGCTGGACTACAAAAATAAAAATAGTGAAAAGAAACTTGTAATTTTAAGAGCTATGATTTTCCAAAAATAAATTTCATTTTCTTGCTCAGGAAGAGATTCCCTGCAAATACTGTCTCTGTATTTGAAGAAGAGTACTTTTATATCTTTGTGGGGCGGGTGGGGTGGCAGTGTGGTGTTAATGGATTTAGTCCCTACTGATCCCCATCCAAGCAGAAATAATTCCTATGTCCACTCCATTGCAAAAATAGGATCTTTGACATCAGATGTGTTTTAAAGGCTTGAAAATAATTCCAGTAGGGAATTACAATATTATGCAACCTCTCTGGTAAATTTGGGACAGCTAGAGAGAATGGTTAGAGAACCTGCCAGATGCAAAATGATTTTACTTTCCTAGGCAGACAGTGTGCCACTATATGTCTCCTCTCTGGCTCCATGCAGTACTACACCTACAGTTATAATCTAGCCCACAAAACATATTGCCCTGCATTTTGTTTTTAAAGGAAACATCAGACTTGAGAAGAAATAAAGATTTCTTTGAATTTTTTTTTTTTTTTTTTTAGAGAGACGCAGACAAAACTACACTAAGAAAGGACTGGCATTCTTGGGCTGACCTTTCTCTTAGCCTCACTTTTCCAATTTTCAGAGCATCTAAGTGCTTCAGAAAAGCTTTTGCCTTTAATGCTTTTGCCCCTACAGTACACTCGCATGAGAGGCAAGTTCTATTACCTCTTTTTTGAGATGATCTGCAAATGGTGACTCTGATTCTTGTTTGGCTTTGTAAAGAAACTCAAATTAAATATGAGTTAGCTCAGATACTGGACTCAGTATGAGCATATTAGCATGAGATTCGGCCTGGGTTAATTCCCTTCCTTCTCTGATTTTCCTACTACAGTTAATTGCCCTAACTATATACAGTTAATTCTCCCTAACTACAGCGTCCATTGATTTGCTTCTATCACTTCAATACATAAATTCCTTATGAATGACTAACTTTCGTATTACAGATTATTTATATTACATTAATATAACGTTAATATCTATCCAAAGCCCATCCACACAAAGGTTGGAGGAGGGTGAGGAACCAAACGTTTTTTCAGAGCTGAGAACACCTGCCTTTCTTCTGTCTCCCACAAAGAGTTATCTTCCTTCTGTGGCCTGTGCAGGAGAGCCTCTAAGGCTGTCCTAAGAAGAACATGTGCAAGTCAACATATCAGACCTCATGAAAAGAAAATAATTCTTCTTCACACCAGGAAGACCTGGATTAGGCTTGTAGTCCCTTTAGAACAGGAATCCCAGCACTCTGAGGCACATAGAGATGTCCGGGTGACTAGTCAGCATGCTGCAATACTCAGCACACATTAATCAGGGTCCCCCATCACTATTTTTTTTAATGCAGTCAAACAAAACCCACCCACCACCCACC